TTTGTTGACAATGACGTATACATTGTTGGCGTTTTTTGTGAAGTTATCGGGTTTAGTGTTGTCTGGGTGGGATGGAGAAAATGTTTCATTGATTTTTTATGAAGATTGTAGGTTTTATTGGATTTAAATTTTTGAATACGTGAGTGAATGACTTTTGTGTGTGCGTGTGTGTGTTTGTGTGTGTATTTGGGAGTGTATTTGTGTGTGTGTTTATTTATATATAGATTCGTTTGGGTTTGTATCTTTGCTTTGGCATAATCATTATAAAAACAAGTTTATTTTAAATGAACAATCGATCGGACGAACTGTTTGACCAACCAACCATCAAGTAAACTGACCAACCAACCTATCAATCAACCAACCAATTAATTAACCAGCTAATCAACCAACCAACAAACCAAGCAATCAATCAACCAAGCAATCAACCAGCCAACCAACCAGCCAGCCAACCAACCGTAAAAATCTACACCCAAAACGATAATAGCCTTCCAGATTTCTTCAAAATGCCGACACTCATACAAGCCAACAGACGCGTATGAGCTGTTCAATTTTCTATTCGGCTGTACATCAACTCTGGTCCATAAGAAATCGCAGTATCCGATATAAGTTTCTCTACCGTTTAAAGATGATGTCACGTCTAACACTGGATGTACTGTGTTGTGTGTGTGTGTGTATATGTGTGTGTGTTTTTATGGGTGTGTATATATGTGTGTGTGTTTATGGGTGTGTGTATGTGATCACGCACAAAAAATGAAACGTGGCAGTCTGATAAGGTCGAACGAATTTTACAAAATATATCCGAAAGATAAAATCCTTCCTCGTATCATCATCATCATCATCATCACCATCATCATCATCATCATCATCATCATCATTATCATCATCATCATCAACAACAGCAGCAGCAGCAGTAGCGGCAGCATCATCATCACCATCAACATCTCTGATGACATATTTTCTCCTGGTGATTTGCTGGCAACCACCATTGTGGTAGTTCAGGTAAGCGGTAAGTTCTTTTTTACCTTTCAACAAGTTCCTGTGTGTGTGCGTGCGTGCGTGTGTGCGTGTGTGTGTGTGCGTGTGTGTGTGCGTGTGTGTGTGTGCGTGTGTGTGTGCGTGCGTGTGTGTGTTGTGCGTGTGTGTGTGTTTGTGTCTGTCGGTCAGCAAATAATTCAACCCATATTACAAAAAATGCATTCAGGGTCACGTAGACACGTACAAAGAAACAAACATATGCACATACAAAGATGCATACACACACACATACAAAAATACAAATATACACATACATACTTACAAACAAACAAACCAACAAACATACAAACCTTTGCCGCCAGAAGTTATTTCGCATGAACACCCCATCAACAATACACTCGTTGTAGACGCCATTGTTACATATCGAGGCAGACTCTATAACTGTTACTGGGACTTCATTTTTATTATTATTATTATTATTATTATTATTATTATTATTATTATTATTATTATTATTATTATCGTCATCATCATCTCTGTGATCATTACTAATAATGTTGTTTGATATCGTCGTTACAACAGTACAAACAAACAAACAAACTAGGATTGATAAGACGAAACGAATGGACAAGCGTACAAATATAAACGCGCGCACACACACAGACATACACACACACGCGTACACACATACAAACTCAAAAGAGAGAGAGAGAGAGAGAGAGAGAGAGAGAGAGAGAGAGAGAAAGAAAAAGAGAGAAAAGAGAGCGAGGGAAAGAGAGAGACATACACACAACATACATACACATAACAACATACACACGTACACACACACATACACGCACACAAACACACACACATACATACTTCCATAGCCTGCATACCCAGCCATTTTCATCTCCAGTTTATTCACATCATTAGCGTCGTCAGCGAGAACATTTTCAGCCTCATCAGCTTGACTCGCCCCAGCATCATCGCGGAAGTACAAGGTTATCTTAGCCTGTCGGTCGCCAATGTACTGTAAACAAATTATTATGAAACAATAAAAATAAAACTCCTGATGTATCTCATAAGTTTCGTAGTCTAGGCTTTATCTTTTTATCTAGTTGATAATTGATTGATTGATTGAATGATATTAATATTATTGCACACAAACATACAACACACACACACACACACACACACACACACACACACACACACACACACACACACACACTGTTAATACAATATTATTATTATTAGTTATTATTATTATTATATTTTCAAATAATTTTTCTACAAAAGCACAAACGAATGTTACATTTTCAGTTAGCCTTTTGAAATTTACAGATAACCTCGAGGATAATACTGACGACGACGACGATGATGAAGACGACAATGAAGATGAAGATGATGGTGATGATGGTGATAATGGTGATGATTCTACGGCTGGATTGAAAGAGTAGAAGCAGGTTTGGTTTGAATATCCAGGAAATCTTTGTAGTTCGTGAAGGGTGTCTAAACTATTCTCCATGGCTGTATGTGCGTTCGTTCGTTCATTCGTTCGTTCGTTTGTTTGTTTGTTTGTATGTATGTATGTATGTATGCTTGTTTGTTTGTATGTATTTACGTTTGATTGTTTGTTTGTTTGAACGTATGTATGTATTGTATGTCTGTTTGTTTGTTTGTTTGTTTCATTTTTAAAATTAATTCATTCATGAATAATTTTATTGAATTTTTTGTTTATAAATAAATTTATTTATTTATTTATCATTCATTTAGTTTCGCACATATTCATCCATTTATTCATTCCTTCGTTCATTCAATCCTCTAGCCTTCATATCTCCTTATAATGAAAGCAGTCCCGACGTATGTGCCTTCCAAATCCCTGCACTCCCAGATCCCAAAGGGGAAATTTGTCGGGGACTGATCCACAGATCCCGTGACTTCCGTTATTGTTTTCGGTGGTAGGTGGATGACGGAGATCCAAGGCGTCTCACATGGGATGAATTTGGAATCCGGACTGCCCTCCACCGCAAAAATTCTATGCTTTATTTTTGCTGTGTATGTGTGTGTGTGTGTGTTTGATTTTGAACGTGTGTGTACGTGTGTTTGTTTGTGTGCGTATGCGTGCGAGTGTTTGTTTATATATGTGTCTTTGTTTATGTGTGTTTGTTTAGTGGTATCTAGACAAGCAGCAATACAAAAATCAACTATACTACCATCGTTGTAAAGTCATATGCATATATAAAGTCATTATGTATATAAAAACAAAAATGTTTCACTCACTCACACACACACTCACACACACACATACAAAGGCACACAGACACAAACACACACGCACACTAACTATTGTTATCAGTTTTGAGAAAAATTTTCTCCTTGTAAACGCATTTAGCGTTTTGAGACAGGTGAAAAAAATTATGCTGCCAAACGTAGCCATCCCTTAGAACAAAAACTCGCCTGCTTAACTGATTTGGCGCCATTTCCAACAGACAGGCGAAAGATCCATTCAAAGTGGAACATTCCAGAGGAGTGTACGGGGTTGTGTTGATTTCTCTGGTGCTAATTAATGGGACTTTTGTGTGATTTTTATTCATTCTTTAGTTACGATTTCAAGCATTTATTAATATTAATGTTAATGTTATTATTGACGTTGTTGCTGTTACTGTTAATGTGGTTGTTTGCATCATTAATGACATCATTAATATTTGTAATGTCTTATATAATATGTATATATATATATATATATATATATATATATATATAACAATAACAATGAACAACAACAACAATAATAATAACAACCTTGAACAATAACAGAAATAATAACAACTGGTAAAAAAATAAATTTTAAAATGTTGTAAATTAAATTTGCTCCATAGATGACAACCGCTATGTTCTTGTTTTCGCACTAGCCATAATAAAAATGGTAATAAAAATAATAATAAAATAATAACAATTTTTATTATTATTATTATATTAATTATGATTATTATTAATGATAATTATTATTATTATAGTATAAGCCGAGGTAGCTAATAGTTGAAAATGGAAATTTTTACGCAGCCAAACTAACGATATATAGATAGAGATCTATTGTGATGCTTGAAAATATTCTGTGCTAAGTTCACCAGAAAAGTTTTGTGCTGAAAATTATGAAAAATTATTAATTATCATCCTAATAACTACAACTACTACTTCTACTACTACTACTACTGCTACTACTACAACACTACTACTGCTATTACACTACTACTGCTACCACTACTACTACTACTACACTACTACTACTACTACTACAAATACTACTACTGCTGCTGCTGCTGCTACTACTACTACTACTGCAAAACCTACCAGATAAGTAACTTCGATATTTAAGTAGTATAGATCGTCTATAGGCAAACGAAATTGTATGGAGAATTTGGATTCAACGTCATCAATGGAGCTAAAAGTGGAACATTCCAAATGAGGGGGTGTCCGACTTTCAAAATCAACTTTATTATTGTTCATTTCGTTGTGGTTGTTGTTATCGTTATTAATTTCATTATTATGGTTGTTAATGTTTTCGTTGTTGTTGTTGTTGATGACTTTAATGTTATTGTTAGTATTATTGCTTTGTTTGATGTCGCTATCATCATCATCATCTTCATCAACATCATCATCAACAACAACAACATCATCATCATCAACAACAACATCATCATCGTCTTCGTCGTCGTCGTCATCATCACCAAAACTTACATGAAAACGAAACTGTTAATACCGTTAGACGGATCTCCGAAGAACATTGGAAATATCCTGACGATGATGATGACGATAACGATGATGATGACGATGATGACGTCACAACAACAAAAACAAAATCACGCAATAACTAAATACGAATAGGTTCGAAACCATAACCAATACTACTGTTTATATTACTTCTGCTACTATTACTACTACTATTACTACAGCTATTTCTACTACAACAGCAGCTACAACGTTTGTAGAGGTTGTAGTAAACTGCTTGTAGTAGTAGTAGTACTATCATTACCAATACTTTTTTAATGCTGAAAATTAGTAATAATAATAATAATAAATATCATTTATAAAGCGCCAATGCAAGCGACTGAGGCCCTCTCGGAACTAAAAAGTTAACGAAAGAACAGAGCACATCCGACAGAGCATGTGAGTAGAGGAAAACCACCGTTACGAAGATTGCACGTGAGAGGCGGGTTCTATTTGTACTTGAACACGGTGGCTACGACAGAGCAGCTACGACGACGACGACAACAACTACGACGAACCATAATGTGACAAAGGATTCAAGTTGTATTTGTACTCGTCTAGTTTCTCCCACCCACCACTGCACTCTGGCATGACGTTGTGGCTGTCCTCTCTATCAACCGCTATCAGGTGGTGAGTCTTGAAAGCTTGGTGGACAGACTGTGCTGATGATGATGGTGATGAAGACGATGATGATGAGGGCGATGATGATGATGATGATGATAACGATGATGATGATGATGATGGTGATGATAACGATGATGATGATGGTGATGGTGATGATGATGATGATGAAGACGATGATGATGAGGACGATGATGTGGGTGATGATAACGATGATGATGGTGATGATGATGATAACGATGATGATGATGATGATAACGATGATGATGATGATGATAACGATGATGATGATGATGATGATGGTGACGATGACGATGATGGTGATGATAGCAAAGGTGACGATGATAGTAAATAAAAAAAACTGCTCACTATGAAATAAACTAATTGACACCACCATCACTCTAATCATAAAGGTTGTCATCGTGCTCATACGATGTACCATCATCAAGTTTGTATGCATGCAAATGTATTTGTTTGTTTGTTTATATTTGTATGTTTATATATGTATGTTTATATATGTATATTTATATTTGTATGTTTATATTTGTATGTTTATATTTGTATGTTTATATTTGTATGTTTATATTTGTATAACTGTCGCTACACTTCGTCATCTTCTTCTTCTCCGTACTATCGCTATTGTTATTGTTTACGTTTTTCAATGTAAATATACCATAGACGCGTAAAAAATTGAAAATAATACTCGGTATGTATATTTTTATGTATATATGTATTTATGTATGTATCTATGTATGTATGTATGTATGTATGTATGTATGAATGAACCCTTAATTGATTAGAACTATAGGGAAGTAATAATCATACCCGGGTCCAGCTTTAATCTTTATTAAACGCTTCGCACAGACAGGTATTTCAACGCTCTATCCAAAATACAGAAAGAATTATATTTTTAAAGTAAAATAGAGAAAGATTGCTTTACATAACTCTTATCTAATGGGTCACCCGATACTTCTACAATCCTGCTACAGAGTTCATTCAGAAAACTCTGAGTCTGAGCATCAGATGGACCAAAGGTTTCAATACAGACTGGCTGAAAAATTTTGCTATCTGCAAGAGCCGCATATTTTGAATTTTTAAAGTCTGTGGCTCTTAAGGCAGCAGCACCCGCCTCCTGTGAGGTAAGATTAATGTACCTTTCAGCCATGGTATGGGGGAACGTAACATCCCATGCAAGGGAACGTCCCTGCGCCCCCCATGGTGAAATAGTATACTCGTCGGGCCCGAGGCTACCTTCCTTCATGAGACCCGTGGGTTCTTTAAGTGTGGGTATGTTTGCCCTCTGAAAGCACCTGACCAAAAAGTCGTTCAAGGCCGAGTGTCGAACCTGTCTACCAGGGCCCAACCGACAAGAAAGACCATGGTGGCCCAGGGGTTCAATGTATGTATGTATGTATGTATGTATGTATGTATGTATGTATGTATGTATGTGTGTATGTATATGTGTGATGTTATGCTGCTAAATGAAAGCAATTGGTGTTAAAAATGGGTTTCTTGCCGTGGAAACAAATGTCTTAATGCGTTTTTAATGAGATGGAAGTGTGCATGTGTGTGTGTTTGTTTGTGTACGTGCGTGTGTGCGTGCGTGTGTGTGTGTTAGTTGGTGTTTGTGTTTTTATGTGCATAAATGTTATGTAAAAATGATTGCAGATGAATGAATGTACATTGATACATAGGAAAAAATAGAGAGAAGGATGGAAAATAAAAACATAAACAGAGTGAAAGAGAAAAGAGAGAGAGAAAGAGAGACCGATAGAGAAAGAAAGAGAAAGTGAGAGAAAGAGAGAGAATGAGAAAGAGAGATAGAACGAGAGAAAGAATGAAACAAAGTGAATGAATCATTGCGATGCGAATTTATTGGTATCACAGTGCCAAATAAAATTATGAAAAAACTAAATGAATGACGAACGTTAATAATAAAAATAATAAAAAACAACAATAATAATAATGATAATAATAATAACAACAAAACAAATAATAATAATAACTTAGGGTTGGATTTTTATCCGCTTCATTGAATGCTGCTCAGTTACTGGCTTGAGTGTGGAGTCGAGTTTAAATTGATAGTGATGACGATGATGAAGATGATGACGATGATGACGATGATGATGATGATGTTATGAAAATATA